TGGCGCTGGTCCTTGTGCGGCAGCAAAAAGAGACGGAGTACTGTAGTGTAGGGAATCTTGTAGTCGAAGGTCTTGCCGTGCAGGTGAAGAAAGGTGGGGTAGATCCGAATGTCGTAACGGCCACGGGGAGTCAGACACTGCAGCTCCCGGAAGATGCAGATGGCATCTCCAGTGGCCTGGATCACATCCGCCTTGGACAGCACGTTCTGGGCAAAGGCCTGCAAACGCATACTGGTTATCGGGCAGCAAGCCCTGCTCCTGGGTCAGCCAAGGCCTGCTCAGCACCACCTGCTCTCAAGGCATCCAGAGGAGGGCTCACCTCAACAGGGTCCACGCCATCCTCCTGGGTGGGAGGCACGTAGAAGCGCACCTCCATGAGAGAGACCTCTGCATCATCATTCTGGTGGAACTCCAGTGTCACCTCATTCTTGCCTGTGGTGCACTGGGACACATTGCTGAGGGGTATCTCGAAGACTGGCTGGTCACCAATATCAAAGGAAAGCAGCTGCCCTATGGGGGAGGGCTTATCAAGTCACAAGCTCCTCCCTGGAGCCTGCATGAACAACGTCCCCACCAGAATGTAAGTGCCGTGAGGACAGGGCGCTGGGGCAATTTTGTTCACACTGCACCACCAGTGCCTGATGCACCAGAGGTACTCAATAAATGCACAAAGAACACAAACTGATAGGAAACCAGAGACAGTGAGGGGGAAATAGAGCCAAGCAAGTTAAAAGCTACAAGCCTTCATCCTACCTTCTCCCCCAAACCTCAGTCTACCCAGGACTCACCACCAAACTTCACCGTCCCCCAGTTCCAGCCCTTCACACATAGTTCCTTCTCCATTAACTCAAGGCGATAGTGAGTTTTGAAGAAATCAGAGAGTTTCTCAAACTCCTGTGGGTGGAAGGCAGAGAGAATGATCTCAGTAAACCCCAGTGTCCCTAAACAGACTTGTATGTCCTGGAATGCTCTACTTCTGAGAAATCACCCTAATATACTCTTTATCAGAAATCCATGCTAATTTAGTCTCAGCAATAAGAGTTTAAAAGGATGTTGAAAGAGGCTGCTTCTGGGGAATGGAGCTCATGCTGGGAGAGGGGACAAGTTAGGAACTGACATTCCTGGTTATGGGCCTGGCAGTACTATCAGACTTTTTAAACTCAGTATAGGTATCACTTTAATGAAACTAAAAATTAAAATGAGGAAAAGTCTGGCCTAAGAAGCAATTCAAAATGGAACATCAAAACTAAAACTACAGCATCAAGCTGAGATTCTAAACTTGAATAAGGGCAACGCATGAAAACTATCATCTAAATCAAAAAAGAACATCTTCTGGAGTTGAGGCACAAGTACACTCACAAGACTTCAATACCCAAAGTTGAGTCCTGACTGCTTGGTGGCCTTGATGGCCCTACTCTAAATGTCAAAACCAGACCCAATGCCTTCAGGTCAATTCTGACTCAAGGCGACTCCATGTGTTACAAACTAAAACTGCTCCATAGGGTTTTCTACGCTGTGATCTGTATGGAAGCAGATCAACAGAACTCTCTTCCGAAGCACTGCCGTGTGGGTTCAAACTGCCAACCTTTGGTTTAGTAGTCGAGCACAGGAGGCACCACTTAGGGAACTCTGGCTCCACTCTAAGGAGCCCAAAATAGCAATTACACGGTTATCAGACAAAGGATGCCCCATTCTCTCCAAGAGTTTAAAAACAAATAAGACAGCCTAGCAAAAATTGGAGTTATCGCAACAGGACAGCTCACCGATTCTCGGAAGCCATCATACTTGTAGACGTGGCCATTCTTTGTGAGCAGTTTAAGTCCATGACCCAGAGCAACACGGCGCCAGATGCCTTCCGTCAACTCCCCAGCCTGGATATTGTCCACTTTGCCAGTCTTGCTGTTCTTGAAGATGATACCTTGGCGGCTTAACCTCAGTCGACCATCATTCTGTCAGAAAAATAGGCCCAGATGCACAGATGGTAATGCGCACAGTCTCACCAACGCCCCATTCTGCTGCTAGTGGGCTAGCCAGGTATCAGTGCAGGAGCAACAGCTGAAGTGGTGAGGGCCAGTGAGAAGCCTGGGTTCTAATCCTGGCTCTAGCACCCAGAACGCTTGCAGGTACTTAGTTTCCTCATTTATAACAAGGACTTGAGACTAAACAGCATAAAACATGCCTTCTTAGGCTACGATCCTATTACTCTAGGAATTACTCTCAGTACTGCTTTTTGTTGGGTAAACACCAGGTACACATACTATTCTGAATCCTCCTTTGCCAGAATAATAACATCATCAAAGTAAGCTCTCAATAAACACTACTTCCCTTCCCTTCTCTTCCCTCCACCTGTATTAAAGCTCAACCCTCTCACCATGGAGCCTTTCACCTCTTGATAGACATCGTTGAACTCCAGTGTCTCTGCCATGCTGACCTGGCCCCTGTTGGCCTGGGCACGGGGCCCTAGGCTGCACAAGGGGGAACAGGAGAAACACGGAGCTGGGCCCCAACTCCTTGGTAGTTGTACAGTTGCTCAGCAGGTTAAGAATCTGAATTCAAGAGAGGGATAGATAAGCATGAAAGACAACACCTCACGCTGTTCTCGACTGGAGCCAGGTGGCAATCCCTGCCTGCCCCTGGGATGTCTCAGGATCTGCTCTGCCTGGGAACCCACAGGCGGGCTGTGCACTGCTCGAGGGGCAAGGCCCAGCCTCGTCTGGAGAACCGGGCCTGGAGTAGCGCTTACACCCCAACCAGACACCCGCTCGGGCGCCCCACCGGGCAGCATGGCAACGAGCAGAGGAATCCCAGAGCCTGCTCGAACTCGCACCTCGCCCCAACACAGCCCAGACTGCAGGGTTTCCCTCCCAGCGTTCCCACCGCTCCACCCCAGACCCAAGCCCCCCCCCCCGCTCCTAAAATGGAATCGCCCGCTTCCCGCCGATTCGAACGCGGAACGGATCATCTCGAGAGTCCCGCGAGGGAGCAGGGACCCACGCCCTCCTGGGGCACGAGGTCCGCGGCCACTCACCTCAAACTGCAGCCTTGTAAGGGCCCCGGCGCGGGCGGTGGGCGCGCTGGGGAACGCACGGGCGCGGCGGGGTGGGGGGAACGCAGGGGAAGCTTTTCCCGCGTGCGCGGCCCCGCGTCCCGCCACCGGAAGCCGCACGCAGACGATAGAGAGGAAGAGCTGGCTAGAGGAGCGCGAGCTGGGCCAGCCTGTGAGGCGGTCGTATAGAGCGTCCGCAGCTCGGGAAGACCTGCGGGAGGTGAGGGTGCGGTTCAGTCGGCGCCCCAAAAGGCATGGAATTTGACTAGCAAAGGGGAGCACATGGGGTCTTTAGAAGCTACAGACACGTTTTCAGTGGAGGACTAGCTTCTAAAGGGAAATTGTGGAGTTTTGCTTTATCAGACTCTTCACACGTGTGTCTATGTTGGAACGATTTGTGCCCCTCTCTCCTGCACGATGGGGGTTTCTGTGGAGTGCAAAAGAGTCGTGAGACAAGAAGAAAAATATTTAAAGCTTGTGGAGAGAAATGACCCCTCCCACTGGCTGCGAAGAGAATACCGGTGTTGGTGTCATTGTGACTATGCTGCTTTAGAGCTGCGCCCTGTCAAGTGAGATTGGTCCCTTTTTGAGGTGAGTTCATTGCCTGCGCCCAAAAACCTCATACCCATAACGGCAATTTATGGGCCGCTGGAAGAGGCTGGCAAACGGCCGTATCAAGTTCAAGTGCTGGTATCAGATTCACCTCCGAGCCGGAACTGATTTGAAACCGCATCAGTCCAGGATTGCACAAGCCAGGCCCTCCTCATATAGTCCCAAAGTGCATCTTGCAAAATCAGAGAAGACCAGAACTGGATGAGATGCTTGAGTTGATCTAATCCAACCTCCTTTTGCAGATAGGAAAACTGGGGCCCCAAAACGAGTTCTCAAGATCTCAGTGAGCTGATGACAAAGCTGGAGACTAGAACCCAGATCTCCTTACCTTAGTCCAGCTCTTCTACCATAACCACAGTGACCCTGCATTCAGAATACTTGACAACATGTGTCCTGCATGACAACATTAGGACAGAATATTTAAATTCAAGATTTCCCTGACAATCTGACTGAAAACAGCCAGCTTGCTAACCCAGTCCTGCGATAAGAGACAACAGGGATGCCCTGTTGCCGCCTGAACTCATGCCTTTGACCTCTGTGTACTGGCTGTTACAGCACAATCTAGAAACATAAATTCAATTGAATCCAATAAATAAGGCCAATTATTAAGCCAACACGTTTCTAGGCTTCCATCAAACTGGTGAACAAGATGGAAACAGCCCTAACCTTCCAGGAACACATAATCTAATGAATGATTCACATAGTGGAAAAAAAAAAAAGACACAACGTGATAACAGCCATGGGACAGGTAGAGCTCCAGCCACTGCCAAAAGCAGTTAGAAATATGTGATTGTTTACTAATCCCCTTCCAGGAGACCCAAAAAAATGTGCAAGAGACCCCTCCCCATGGTCCCATGCTATTGGAGGCAGGGGATGGCTGCAGAATTGGGTGGCTTTAGGCACAGGAATGAAGGGGCTACTCAGCTAAGAGAGGCTGTGAAGTGGCTGGGGGATGGGACATTGCAGGGGGCTTTAGAGAGAGCGGTGAGCTGCAGCAAAAGAGAATGGAACAGAAACAGTAGACAGAATGCAGATAAAACATGAGTCCCAGAGGGCCCTACCAGCCAGCTGCATCCCAGGCAATCAGGAGCCCAGGATTGGAGACCCACCCCTGCCGTGACATCACGGGGGAGTGGGGTGGAGACAAACAAAAAGGGGGTCCCCCGCCCAGGTCCTAGACTCTTAGCAGCCCAGATTGTCAAGAGCAGAGAGAGCTTGGGCACTGGGCTTAAAGGAACAGGCTCCCTGTTCCCGACCCTCTCTCAGCTGCCCCATCCAGGCCACCATCTCTGTCTTCCTGCCCTGAGGACGTCTCTCTCCTGAGGCTACTGTTTGGCCCCTTCTGGGTGGCCCCTGAGCACTCCCTCAGCATGAACTGCATATCAGACTTCTTCACCTATGAAACCACCAAGTCAGTGGTTGTGAAGAGCTGGACCATTGGGATCATCAACCGGGCCGTTCAGCTTCTGATCATCTCCTACTTTGTGGGGTGAGTGTGTGGCCCTTCAGGTCCTAGGAGGGGAGGACCATCTGGAATGTTCCCGTCCAGCCTCCTGAGCATCTCTCCTCAGGCGGGAAATAGTTTCTTCTGTGGAGCCACGTCCTAAAGGACTGGCCTCTGCCACCCCCACCCAGGATCTAGTCCCCAGATGGGTTCTTTACCCCAGCAAATCCTCCAGGGGTGGAGAATGGTTCCTAGACACACACTCTGAGGAGTGGGTTCTTCCACCAGGAGAGATCCCTGGTGACCATGTTTCTTCTCCCCTCCCTCATCTCCCCCCTGAAGAACAGGCAGATTACCCCGCCTTACATCCTCTCATTCCCCTCTGTCAACTATTTGAGTCTCAAAAGATAAGCGAGCCCAGGAAGGGGGAGGGGAAGACCCTGAAATAAGGGAGATAGTGACAGGTTGACCAGGTTGGTGGCAGGGTGGAATGGAGGGTCAGCTGGGAGGGAAGGATCCATTTAGAAGTGAGGGAGTCTCCTCCTAGCATGGGGGAGATGGTGAGAGAGCCTGGAAAGGAGAGAAGCCCTTACTCTCGGAGAGTAGGATAAAGCTAGGGTAACTGCCCCTTGGGTCTGGGAGAGAAACATGGGCACAAATAATACTCAAGGGAAGAGTTGCTGAAAAGTGGTTTTTCTGAAAATAGTGTGGAGTCCCTCTCCAAGAATCAAGAAATGTTCCCCTTTGCCAGAAAGCATAAAGTCCCTGCTTATACCTGACTTTGTGCTGTATAGCCCATCCTGGGAGTTGTTTAAGAGCCCTCTCTGGGCCCCTACCTCTTGGAGGCTCCCATACACACAAAGGGCCATGGAGCAGACAATGGCTGAGGAAGAAACACAGCTCTGTCCTTCTTATGATTGTATCCACAAACTGGTGGGTACCAAGGCTTTTCTTTCCTGATTTGCGTGTCTCTAGTCTCGTGCTGTTCCCTGAGACAATAGATCTGTGTGTGAGAGGCAGCAAGCCGGTGCCTAACTGCCATGAGTTCATTCAAGCAAGTCAGATGGGACTCCTGTGTGCACGTGGGCTGGAATCTGCGTGCGAGTGGGCCTGCTTGCCTGAAAGATTGGGATAGTGTATGAGGCTGAGCGTGGAAAGGCACGTAGATGTGTATGAAGCAATTTTTTTTTGCGCCATATGTTTGTGAGAGCCAGTGAGCTTTGGTTATGTGGATGTCGTAGACAAGACTGTACATCTGGATATTAGAGAAGGGATTCAAGTTTAAGGAAGGATGAAATGCCCTTGAGTTTCTTTGCAGCTTTGAGGTGTTGTGAGATAATGATGTTTGTACATGTTCCATGTCTACATCTCCAAAGCGTGGCCCAACGTTGGTTCTTCAATGTTATGTGTTCACGTGTATATGCAACCCTGTGATTGTTTTTACCCAGGAGATGGTATTTTGGTCTAGATGAGTGCAAAAACTGCCTCAGCATATTCTGGGGCTGGCCTACCTCCATTGGCCTCAGGTAGGAGATGGATGGAAGATAGAGACAGACAGCTCCTGGACCAGCCCTCTTGGCCCCCTGCCCTTGTCTCTCCTCATCACAATCTGACGCTCCAGGCTGGAGCCCAGCCTGCGGGAGCGAGCGGGAGAGGCTCTTTGGCGTCTTAATATCCAACACCATCCATCTCACAGCCTGACAGCTCCCCACAGAGCAGCTTGTTCCAGTTACAACAATGTACTCTGTGGCCAACCCCCTGCCGGAACCCCATCTCCATGCACAGGAACCTGTGAACATCATCATTTCAGGAATCCATTGTCATTAATTTAGCAAAAAAATGTATGGAGTCTTTCTTAGGTATTGTGAACTGAAAATAGAATGGTAGGCAAAAATAGATAGGGTCCTTATCCTTGTGGAGCTTACAGTTTAATGCAAGAGATGAACATTAATCAAATAATCTCTGCAAGCAAATATAAAATTTCAACTGTGGCTCAGGGTTTGAAGAAGAGGTGCAAAGTTCTAGGAGCACCGCTAATATGGAGGTATTTGACCTGATGAGGGGACTGAAGGAAGGTTTTTCTGGGGAGGTGACATCTAAGCCAAGATCTGAAGGATGAGTAGGAAGAATCCAGGTGAAAGAAGGGAATGAAGAGAATCTAGCAGAGAAAACCATCTCTACAAAGGGAAAGAGCTTGGCGAATGGGAGGAAGAAAAGAAGGCTGTTTTGGCTGAAGCAGAAGGAGCAAAGGCAAGGGTGGTGTAAGATGCGGCTGGGAACCCAGACAGACCTCACACACTCTCAAAGATCTTTTGTTTTTGTCGAAGAGTAATGAATGGGAAGCAGCTGAAATGGTAAACGTTCGTGGGGGGTGGGGGTGTGGGTGTGGGTATGTGGGTGTGGGTGTGTGAGAGAGACAGACAGACAGACATTTGGTTTGGGACAATTGCTCTGGCTGATATGGATATGCTGGCAGTGGGTTGGAGGGGGGTCTGAGTGGATGATAAAGTCCCTTGGTGGTGCAAACGGTTAAGTACTTGACTATTAGCCAAAAGGTTGGTGATTCAAACCCACCCAGTGATGCCTTAAAGACAGGCCTGGTAGTCTGCTTCCCAATGGTCACAGCCTTGAAAACCCTACGGAGCAGTTCTACTCCATATCCATGGGGTCGCCATGAGTCGGAATCACCTTGACAGCAGCTAACAATGACAACAACAGGAGCAGATGCAGAAAAATCAATTAGAAGGCTGTGCAGTCATGGAGAGAGAGAGATGATGGTGGTGTGGACTCAAGAGCATTTGAAAGGATTTTTTCTGCTGTGATGTTAAAGCTTAACTAATACTTGAATCTCTTCCATAGTATCCCTGCCAGGTAGACAAGATGCCCAGCCTTACCTAAACCCATTGTCATCAAGTCAATTCTGACTCATAGCAACCCTATAGGACAGAGTAGAACTGCCCCACAGAGTTTCCAAGGAGCACCTGATGGATTTGAACTGCCAACCTTTTGGTTAGCAGCCATAGTACTTAACTACTATGGCCCCAGGGTTGCCAGCCTTACCTAGGACACGTGTAACTTGAGCCAGCCACCTCTCATATGCACTCACAGCAACACCCTGCCCAGCAGTCTCCACACACACTCCATCCCTGCCTCCAGCCTTGGCTGCTTGTCTGTGGTTGACACCACTTCATCACTGGTTGCCTTTACCCACCCCAGGTGCACAGAGAAGCCAGGACATACCTGGTGTTCCTCATGTCTTTTCTGGGCCCAGGTAGTAATCATCAATCTCCTCTGTGGGGCAGGACTTCCTCAGAGCAGTCCACCCCCTTTCTGAACCTGTAGGGACCTGAGGAGGAGGTAAAGGGAAATCTCGGGGGCCTCAGTCCCTGGAAGCCTTGGCAAGTGCTTGGCCTGGAGTTGGTTTCTGGGTCTTTCCAAAGGAAGCTGCCTCCCTGCAAACCAGCAGTGAGGGCGTTTCCCAGCCCTTTGGTGCTCCATTCACCAGGACCGTGATGGGGACATCTGACCCAATTGCAGCCCTCCTTTCCCTGCTCAGTTGCTCCCACTCTGCAAGGCCCCAATTCACACGCTCACCCCTTTGGTTCATAATACTCAGCCTAATTTCAGCTCTTATGTAGAACCCCAATAATGAAGCAGTTAAAAGGAGGAGGTACTCTGGTTTAAAGAGAAAAGAAAAAACAAACATCCATTGCCATGGCGTCGGTTCCGACTCATGGTAACTCCATATGTTTCAGAGTAGAACTACTCCATAGGGGTTTCTTGGCTGTAATCTTTACGGAGAAGGTCCCTGGATAGCACAAATGGTTTACACTCAGCTACAAATCTAAAAGTTGGCGATTTGAACAACCCACCCCAGTGGCACTACAGAAGAAAGGCCTGGTAATCTGCTTCTATAAAGATTACAGAAAAAAAAAAAAAAAAAGATTACAGCAAGAAAACCCTGTCTTAGTCATCTAGTGCTGCTATAACAGAAATACCACAAGTGGATGGCTTTAACAAAGAGAAGTCAAGTAGGCTAGAAGTCCAAATTCAGGGCGCTGCCTCCAAGAGAAGGCTTTCTCTCTCTGTTGGCTCTAGAGGAAGGTCCTTGTCATCAGTCTTCAGCTGGTCTGGGAGCATCTCAGCACAAGAACCTCAGGTCCAAAGGACACACTTTTCTCCCAGCCCTGCTTTCTTGGTAGTATGAGGTCCCCCCATCTCTCTGCTCACTTCTCTCTTTTATATCTCAAAAGAGATTGGCTTAAGACACTATCTAATCTTATAGATTTCATCAACATAACTGGTACTAATCCATCTCATTACATCATTAGTGATAGGATTTACAACACATAGGAAAATCACATCAGATGACAAAATGGTAAACAATCATGCGATACTGGGAATCATGACCAAGGCAAGCTGACAGATATTTTGGGGGGACACCATTCAATCTATGACAAACCCTATGGAGCAGTCCTACTCTGTAAAACATGGGGTCACCATGAATCAGCATCAACTTAAAGGCAATGGGTTAATCTTTATAGAAACAGATCACGGCGCCACTGGGTGGTTTCAAACCACCAACCTTTAGGTTAGTATTGAGCACAAATCATTTGCAACACCCAGGATGGTTTACAGAGACGGGCCTGAATTCTATATTCTTGACTGCCTTCTCACCCTCTCAGCCCAAGGTAGCACCCTGGGGCACCTCATCAGCACACCAGGTGACAAATATGGTGGGAAGACCTGCTGGAATGCCCCATCTTATAGTGACTTTCGTCCCTGCCTCTCTTCTCCCCTCACCACAGCCCCCATGGAACATGGAACACTATAAAGCTGGTTTGAAACCTGGCTCTGACGCTAACTTGGAGTGTGGCCTTGGACACGTCACTTTACGTCTCTCAGTCTCAGTTCCCATATCTAGAAAATAGGGTTAAGAATACCTCCTCCCATGATGTTATGGGGAGGGGAGGTAACATACATCAAGTGGTTTGCCTGGGATGGGTGACTCAGTAATAGATGGTAACTATTATTACTTTCTAGATTCCCAGCACGCCTCCCGCTTCCCCTCTGACCAGCTCACACCTTGTTACGAGACCCCTCTCCTCCCCACCCCACACAAGCACACTCTCCTCACACCCACTCCTGGCCTCCCCCATGACTCCCTGGGGGTGGACAGAAGGTGCTGGGACGCCTGCTCTGGCCTCCTTCCTGCACATCCCACCTGCCAAGGAGCTGCCACCCGCCTTCCGCTCTATAAATAATAAACCAGGAACGGGAGAAAAAATAAGTCAGAGCTGCGGAGTAAATGCCAAGAATCGGAGGCTCAGTCCTGCCGCATCTCTTTAGCCCTGGCCTCTGGAGACAGACTCAGCTCCTCTGTTCTGGAAATGAAGCATCCCCTTCTTTCAAGCTGCCTCGATGACGTCCTCCGGCCCACGGGACCACTGAAATTCTTCCGCTTGTTATTTAACTTGGAGGGAGAATTCTAATGTGGCCTTTTCTCCTTGCTGGGCGCAAGAAGGAGCCTTGAAGGAGGAGGGAGGAGGTTGGTTACTTGCTCTTCCAAGTCCTCCACCCCTTCCTCAGGAGACTCTCCTAAGCCAGGAGATCTCTCTGGTGATGGAGCAGAGGCTGGCAGGACAGGAACCAGGACCCAGGCCAGGGGGCCAGCCATGGCCTGGCCCTGACCCGGGGACATAGCTGGAGGCCCTATAGTGTGGTGGCTGTCAGAATGAGAACTCTCTAGGCTAGGCTGCCTAGTTAGGAACCCACGTACCAACTGTGTGACCTTGGGCAAGTTAGCATACCATTGGTAACATGAGGATAAAAACAGAAGCTGTCTCATCAGTTTGTGGTAAGGATTGGATGAATTAATACACTAAGTGTGCTACATTGGCTATGTGATAATGATATTCCAAACTCTGCTTCTCATCTGAAAATGGTCCTAGATTTTAGGGAGCAGGCAGAGAGGCGTCAGGAAACCATGCCGTGAGATCAGCACTCAGAGGTGTGTCCATTCTGTGGCTGGGCACACTGAGGCTGCAGAAGGGTGTGTTTCTACTGTGACTGACACTCAGCTGGGTCCTAGAACTCACACCAGAGGGCCCCAGGCTAATAATGTTGGAGCACATGCCCATTTTCCATAACAGGGATGCTCCTTTGTCTTCTGCTATGACATAGCATGCCAGATGAAATTTCTCCCCCCAGACAGACTTCCTTACCAGAACTTGATGAACCCCCTCCCCTTCCAAAAGAAAAGAAAGAAAGTGATAGGGAGGAGGTAAGTCGCACAGCACTGAAGACTTCCACAGAGGAGTGGTGTTCCTAAGAGCTTTTTACAAGCATGTGAATAACTCTTAATGGTGCTTTAATCAGGATGCTGCCTGCTATTAGGCAGCAACAATAAAGCAGGTAACAGGTTAGGAGCCATTTGTCAGCACTAGCTGTGACGCCACCCTCTCTCTCCCACTCAAGAAAGCAGTCAGAATTAGAGTGGAGGAAGCTCTCGTAAGGGGATAGTTCTGAACCCTGTCACTAAAAACTGAACAGGGAACCACGTGCATACACCAGCACTGTTTGCAGTCAGCACGCCTGTGGCACCCATCCCACAAGTGAGCGTGACCCCAGCATGTCCCAGGAGCTGCTCCCCTCTGCAGCGTCCTACAGTAGGACGCCCCAGAGGTCAGCCAATCCAGCCTCCACCCAAGGAAGGAGTCTTCTCTCAGGAGACCTGGAAGGAAGGCACCAGGCCTCTCCTGAGTCTTTCCAGGGATGTGGCACTCACCACCTCCCAAAGCAGCCCATTCTGTGGACGACTATGGTGGTTAGAAAGCTCTTGGTCTTGAAGTCTCCATCTGCCTCCTTATAAACCCTCAGATCAGCCCAAGTGCCATCCTTGGCAACTTCCTCAGCCTCGGATTTGCACAGTTTTCTCTTCTCTGGGCAAAGCAGTCTCAGGTCCCTCCCACTCATCCTCACCTGATGTGGTTTTCCAACCTTTTATGACCCTGGGTAGATGAACAAAATGACCCAAACCCAGCATTTCCAAAAGTAGGCTCCTGAATTCCATGAGCTGTCACCAAATATTTCTCCAAAACAGGGCTCCATGATCAAATGAGAGTGGGAAATGGTGGGGTTAACAAAATTTAACAGATGTATTTATCGTTCACATGGCATATTCTTTCAGACAGGAGAGAGAGCATGTAGCATTTTCCAAACGTATTTGATGAGATTTTCTCATCTGTTAAATGGGGACGGTAACAGTTTTCCAGGGACACTGGTGGTTCAGCGGTAGAATTCTTGCCTTCCATGAGGGAGACCCAGTTTCAATTCCTAGCCAATGCACCTCATGGGAGGAGCCCTGGTGGTACAATGATGAAGCTCTCAGCTGCTAACTGAAAGGTTGGTGGTTTGATCCCACCAGCTGCTCCGAAGGAGAAAAGACCTGGCGATCTGCTCCCAGAAAGATTACAGCTTTGGAAACCCTATGGAGCAGTCCTACTCTGTCCTATAGGGTGGCTATTAGTCAGAAATTGACTTGATGGCACACAATAACAACAGCACTTCATGCACAGCCACCACCCATCTGTCAGTGGGGACTCGTGTGTTGTTATGATGCTGAACAGGCTTCAGCAGAGCTTCCAGACTAAGACAGGCTAGGGAGAAAGGCCTGGCAATCTACTTCTGAAAATCAGCCAGTGAAAACCCTATGGATCACAACAATCCGATCTGCAACCCATCATGGGGATGGCACAGGACTGGGGAGAGTTTTGCTCCATTGTCCATGGGGTCCTCATGAGTCTGGCCAGCTAAAAACAAAGATATCTACCTCTGAGCGTGCTGTCAGAGAAGAATGCAATCACAGATGGGGAGTTACACCCCAGGCTGGCAGTGCTGTTGAATATGATACTAAGTGAGGCAGAGAGTGGCTTGAGCCTTGAGGGCTGCGACCCATGATTTCAAATGAAAAGGCAGGCACCTCCCAGAAGTGCAGAGGGAAGAGTTGTTGGCAAGTGTCTGCAGGCCCTTCCTGCTCTGGAGAAGATTGGGGAAGTCCAGGGAAGGGGGTGGAGATGGAAGAAAAGAAGCGGGCTCTGCTTCGTCCACCAAAAAACCAAACTCGCTGCCATCAGTCGATTCCAACTCATTGAGACCCTGTAGGACAGAGTAGAACTGCCCCATAGGGCTTCCAAGGCTGTAATCTTTATAGAAGCAGACTGCCACGTCTTTCTCCTGTGGAACGGCTGGTGGGTTCCAATGGCTGACCTTTCAGTTAGCTGCCGAGTGCTTGACCACTGCACCACCACAGTTCCTTGCCTCATCCGCAGCACCCCATAATGGCTTGAGGCTGTGGGAAGATGTCAGTACAGGTAAATATCCACTGGGTGGCAGCACAGTCCAAGGAATAAGGATGGTAGTGAAGGCCTACCACTACCACCAACCCCCCACCTGCCACACCCCCATCCACCCCAACTCCATTTACCTGCCTGATGAAGACCAGCCCAAGCCTCTCCCTTCCTCCTCTATCCTTCTCTGCTGATGTCTGAATGGATGAAGACTGCCAACCAAGTGTCTTCGCTATTCAATACATGTTTACTGGACACCTACAATGTGCTATGCACTTAGGATCAGCCATGAGCAAAGCCTAGGACACACGGGGCTAGAGACGGAGGTCTAGGGCCCCTGCCCCTTCTCTCTCCTGGGTGCCTGCTGAGAGGTGGCCTCCACTGTCAGAGCCATGCATTCTCTACAGGAGAAATATAGCTCCTTAAAACAAACAAACAAACAAAAACAGTTAACTGTCAATTCAATTCCAACTCATGGTGACCCCATGTGTGCCAGGGTAGAGCTGTGCTCCATAGGGGTTTCGGTGTCTACTTTTTGGAAGTAGATCGCCAGGCCTTTCTTCTGAGGCACCACTTGGGTGGGCTCAAACCTCCAGCCTTTCAGTTAGCAGCCGAGCACGTTAAACATTTGCACCAATCAGGGACTCCATATTGCACCTAAGGAGGTGAAAACTGGTTCTTAGGGGGTGAAATATATCTTACTCTTTTTTTTATGTATAAAGCACAAATGTACACAAAGAAAAAGAAAAGAAAAACCAAACCCATTGCTGTCAAGTCAGTTCCGACTCATGTATTACAGAGTAGAACTGATCCATAGGGTTTTCTTGGCTGTAATCTTTACAGAAGCAGATCGCCAGGCCTTTCTTCCATGGCGTCTCTAAGTGGGTTCAAACCACCAACTTTTAGGTTAGTTGTTGTTTGCCCTCGAGTCAATTCCAACTCAGTGATCCTATAGGACAGAGTAGAACTGCTCCCATAGGGTTTCCAAGTCTGTAATCTTTATGGAAGTAAATTGCCACATCTTTCTCCCTCGGAGCCACTGGTGGGTTCAAACTGTTGACCTGTTGATTAGCAGCCTAGTGTTTAATCATTGTACCACCAGGACTCATTTTTAGGTTAGTAGCCAAGGGCAAACGGTTTGCGCCTCCATAAACAGATATGTGTGGTGTTAAAATTTCAGGCGGGGAGGTGATTAGGTAAAAAAAAAAAAAAGGCTCGGGGGTGGGGGGCGAGTAATGGAGGGGGTGCTCTGCGCTAACCCCAGAGCTCACTGCAGGCTCCAACGCCGCTAGCAGGGTCTTCCCCTGCCAGACATACCTGAGCGCATACTGGAGTCTTCCGGCTGCTGACAGCCTCTGCCTGAGAGGCCTGGGGACTCTTCCTTTCTCTCCCTCCCTGCTGTCCTGGCCCAGGTGGGTTTTCTTGCACGAAAAGGCATACCAGGTGCGGGACACAGCCATCGAGTCCTCCGTGGTCACCAAGGTGAAAGGCTTCGGACGCTATGCCAACAGAGTGATGGACGTGTCTGATTATGTAACCCCACCCCAGGTAGGGCCCCCCACCCCCTCCCCAGGGGCGGTGTGGATTCCCAGGCGCTGGGTGGGTAGAAGGAGAGCGGGCTGAGAAAGGGAATGCCGATGGGACTCCCAGCCAGAATAATCCAGAGAATGAACCCCGAACTCCCATCTCCAGCAGCGGGGAGATGTGGTGGAAGTCGGGCCTGCCCTCCAGAGAATGGTGTTAGGCGTTGAGAAAGCGAGCTTCTCTCTAGGCTCCACCACAACTGTGCGGTAATCACGGACAGCTACAGAGGGAGAGAGAGAGGCCGAGTGATGGCTAGAAAGAACGTGGTTTGGATCCCAGCCCTGTGGTCCTGGCCGTATCACTTACCAGGAGCCTCAGTTTCTCCATCTGTGGAACGGGGATAGTAACAGTGCCTGCCTCGCTGATTGGGACTGTTGTGTTTTCTTCTCTCCCTCCCTTTCCTCTCAAGGGCACCTCTGTCTTTGTCATCATCACCAAGATGATCGCTACTGAAAACCAGATGCAAGGATTCTGCCCAGAGGTGAGGGGTAGAAGAGAGCTGGGATGAAGCAGGTCAAGGAAGAAATTGGGAGGTGGGAGGTGGGGTAGGGGCAGGGAGGGGCGCGGATGTAAGCTATGACCAGGAACCCTGGACCTCTGCCCTCCAGAGCCTGCTGCTTGTGAGGCGGCAGTGGGAGCTGAGAGGCTCCTCCAGGGCCAGCGCAGGGTCCTCCACCCACCTGCACACCTGTCTTCCCACAGAGTGAGGAGAAGTACCGCTGTGTATCCGACAGTCAGTGCCCGGCGGAGCGCTTTGCGAGTGGGGGTGAGTGCAGCCGTCCTCCACCTCCCCAACCCCTTGCACCCCCAGAGTGTTAAGGTGGGGGCGGGTGAACGGCAGCACATCCCCCAGGGGGAGCCCACGCCGGAAAAGAGAGAAGGAATCGCCTATCCGGAGTAATACTAGGCATGTGTGGATGCCCTCTGGGTGCCAAGGCCAGCGGGAGGCTGCAGAGGTGGCATGGCTCCGCCCCAGAGTTCCCAATCTAGGGTGGAGGCGACGGACAGGTGTGTCATGAAGTGCTGTCTGTCACCGAGGCACAAAGATCTGAGGGAGCTTGGCGGAGGGAGAGACATTGGTTCCAACTGGGTGGCCCAAAACGGCTTCCTAAATCACCGAGGTTTGCATGGGCCCTGAGGATGGGCCCGCTTCGGCAGGGGCAGGGGCTTCATGAAGGGTAGTCCAGGCAGAAAGAACAGCTACAGCAAAGGAAAAAGGCTCAGAGGCGAGGAAGAGCACACTGTGATTGGTGAACGAAGCGTGCGTGGGGTTCTGGGGCTGGCAGTGTATTAAGAGAGCGGAGGCTCTCGCCTGGGGCTCGGGAGGAACTGAGTGAGAGAGCGCCCCCTGCAGGGCCAAAGTGCCACAGCTCTGCTCGCCTGCCCTGCTGCCCTTCCCTCCACCAGCCAGGGTGTGTGTGTGGGTGTGTGTGGGTGTGTGTGTGTATGTGTGTGTATAGGGGGGAGCCGATGAAGAGGGGTGGGGTGAGGAGGGAGTGGCAGAGGAGTAGGCGTTCACCCGCGGCATGGCCCCACCCTCACAGGGATCCTCACTGGCCGCTGCGTGAACTACAGCTCTGCGCTCCGCACCTGTGAGATCCAGGGCTGGTGCCCCACTGAGGTGGACACGGTGAAAATGTAAGGAAGGAAGAGGGCACCGCACCACTCCCCTTTGCCAACGTGGGCAGCCCTTCACCTCTGAGTTTCCAGGGGTTCAGTGGGTCCCTCTTTGTGTTCATTACTGGGGTGGGGAAGTGGCCTCAGGGCATCATCCCCATAATCCCTCTCACCTACCACCCTCCTCCCTCTGGCCCTCGGACTTACAGAGGCCCTTTGGTCCAGCTCTCAGAGGCCCTTCATGTATGAGGGGAGGCCATGGCCATGTGCCCTTTGGGCGACTTCCACAGGAAAGGTGGTCCCTGCCCTGAAAGCTCCCTGATTCCCCCTCTTCTTCCTAAGAAGCTAAGGCCTTCTGCTCTCACCCACAGGCCTGTCATGGTGGAAGCTGAGAACTTCACTATTTTCATCAAGAACAGCATCCGTTTCCCTCTCTTCAACTTTGAGAAGTGAGTCCTAGCTCCCTCCATGAAGCCAAGATGCAGTGCCACCACCCACCTCCTTGTTCCTCAGAAGAGTGGCCCCATTCCCCCATGTCCTCTCCCTCCTCTCACCTCTCTGGGGTGCCTATTCCCACTCTCCCAGCCTACCTGGACCCCAGGACCTTGGGACCAACTTCTCTGGCACCTTCCTTGACTTGGGGCTCAAAACCCAAATGAGAGTTTGGCTTTGGGGGGTGGGGGGAGGTGGGGAGACAGCTTACACCTGGCTCTGGGACAAGGATGCCTCCAGAGGCTGGTGACCAAGAGGCTCATCCCACTTCTTTTTCCCACATCAAGCCCGTGTGAGGTCTCCCTTTTCTCTTAGCCCTGTCAGCCCCACTTTGTTGACTTAGTCATTCAGCAGCTACCCGGAGGGCATTGGCTGTGCGCAAAGCACAGTGCCAGGCACTACGGAGGTATAAAGAGTAATCAGGAGGGACTCCTGGGAGCTAGAAGGAGATTAGATATGGACACAGATACCCTAACATGAGATAGAGGGCAATGGGGTTACAAGAAAGATGCAGGGAAAGAGGTCAGGACTCAGATGCCCCTGCTTGGGCATGGAGGAGCCCAGAAGCTCCAGAAAGCTGAGAAAGCATTTGTGCCTGGGCTGTCTTCACATGAGGAGTCCCTGGGCAGTGCCAGAGGTCCCTAGGTGGCACAAATGGTTTGCACTCAACTACTAACCTAAAGGTTGGTGGTTCAAACCCACCCAGCACTGGCACAGAAGAAAGGCCTGATGATCTGCTTCCATAAAGATCACAGCCAAGAAAACCCTATGGAGCAGTTCTACTCCGTAACACACGGGGTTGCCATGAATCGGAATTGACTCCATGGCAATGGGTTTAGTTTTTTTGGTTTGGGTAGTACAAACAGTTAACTGCTAGGCTACTAACCCAAAGGTTGGTGATTTGACCCCACCCAGAGGTGCCTTGGAAGAAAGGCTTGGTGATCTTCCAAAAGGTCACATCCATGAAAATCCTATGGAGCTCCGTTCTATTCTGCATACGTGAGGTCGCCATGAGTTGGAATTAACTCCATGGCAACTGGGTTTTTTAATTTTTGTTTTGTTTTGTGGCTTCATGTTAACCCTGGGCCTTGCCTCTCTTCTCTTCTCCTCCACAGGGGAAACCTACTTCCCAACCTGACAGCTGCTGATATGAAGACATGCCGCTTCCACCCTGATAAGGCCCCCTTCTGCCCTATCTTGCGGGTGGGGGATGTGGTCAAGTTTGCAGGGCAGGACTTTGCTAAACTGGCCAGCACGGTGAGGACACTGCTACTCTTCCATGACCCTAAGTCAGGGAACACAGCCCTTCCCTGAAATTCTGGCCCTTTGGCAGACACATGGGATACTCGAGAAGAGGGAGGTGCCACCTGCTGGAATCATCCCAGGCCTGCAACTGGCTTTGTACTAGAATCCTTTCTATCTACCCCTGCCCTGAGTGGTCTTGCTTCTCCCACCCCTGCCCCCCAAGCCTCAGTTTCCATTCCCATGTTCACTCTTCACCTGCAAGGAGAGACCTTTTATCTATGGAAAGGCCCAGATGATGGGAAATTGGATTTGTGGCTACTCTCTCTCTCTGTTACGTACAGTTAAGGGATCGAAGATTCCAAAAGTAGGATGCAGAGGCCGAAGGGTTCTCGCCCTAGCTACACGACTTCTTCACTTAGCAACATGTGACAAGTCACTTCTCTTTCTCCCCACCTCCATCCTCCACCTAGAAAATGGAGAGAAACCATTGTCATGCCCCCACCCCCACCCCCATGCCTGCCCAGCTGAGGACTGTAGGTCAGAGGGCTGGGGAAGAGCTCATATGTGCTCCTTTCTCCAGGGTGGAGTTCTGGGCATTAAGATCGGCTGGGTGTGTGACTTGGACAAGGCCTGGGACCAATGCATCCCCAAGTACACCTTCACCCGGCTTGATGGCATTTCTCAGAAGAGCAGCATCTCCCCAGGCTACAACTTCAGGTAATCCTCTTGTCTCCTGGGGCATCAGGATAAGGCGGAAGGGGCTGGTGTAAAGAACATTACCTCAACCAGCAAAGCATATTGGGAAGAAAAGGCCCCATGTTCCCCCATCAGGTTCACGCTCAAAACAAGGAAGGACGTTCTAACAGTTCAGCCTGTCAGTGATGCCCTGGGCCATCGTGGCTTCCCTGTCACCAGAAGGGACCATGCCAAGAAGTCACACTCCAGGTTGGCAGTCAGATCAGATGACCAAGGTCTCTTCAAATGTTGGGGTTCTGTGATTCTGTGATCCCCCTCTTAGGTCTGGCCCTGAAGTTATAACGTGTCTAAGTAACTCACAGATAGCCCCATTCTCACTCCTGCGCCTGAATTTTCTAAGGTCTTTTGCTCCACAAAGGAAGGGCAGTAACTGGTATCATTTTACAACATGGTGATTTTGTATTTCCGTCTATAACCAGGAAATTTCATCTGAATCACAAATAACAGTACTAATGATCATTTGTTCTTCTTCAATTCCTTTCCAAACAAGGGCTCAAAACCAACCCACTGCCATCGAGTTGATTCTGACTCATAGCAACCCTATAGGACAGAGTAGAACTGCTCCATGGGGTTTCCAAGGCTGTAAATCTTTAGGGAAGCAGACTGCCACACCTTACTCCCATGGAGCAGCTGATGGGCTCAAACCACTGACATTTTGGTTAGCAGCTGAGTGCTTTAACCACGACGCCACCAGGGCTCCTCACCAGAGCTCAAACCAGTCTTTAAACATCACCTCATTTATATTCCAAAGGGCATGAGACTAATAAGACTAATAAGTTTTTTTTTTTTTTTTTTCAATTTGAAGAAAGGGAAAGAGACGAACCAGGGGAGAAAGTATGTAGAAAATCCTTGAGCAAGACCTTGACCTTCTCCCATCCTAATTTCCTCATCTATGAAATGACGATAAAAACCAGTTGCCGTCAAGTACCGTCAAGTGGATTCCAACTCACGATGACCCCGTTTGTGTCAGAGTAGAACTATGCTCCATAGGATTCTCAATGGCTGATTTTTTAGAAGTAGATCGCCAGGCCTTTCTTCTGGGGCCCCTCTGGGTGGACTCAAACCTCCAACCTTTTGGTTAGCAGCAGAGTGTGTTAACTGTTTGCCTGACCCAGGGACTCCCATAAAATGATGATAGTATCATTGTTATCTTGAGGAGCCCATGAACCAACGCATGAAAAGCTTCAGCTTTCTGTTTTGTTTTTTCCTTAATTTTTGAAGACCCAGAAGTTTCCGGCATGGCCATGATTAAGTACATAATATTATATACTAAACAGGCTAAATAGGCAGTGACCAGGAAAAAAAATACATGTAAGAATATATTTCAGTTACATGTCCAAATAATTGTTACTCAAATTTCTTTTGTTTTATAGCCCCATTGACTGTAGTGGTATTTTACAATATAATGGTATACATAGCAAAAATAACCATTGTTTTAATTATGTAGTGCTTCTATAATAGAAATATCACAAGTAGATGGCTTTAACAAACAGAAGTTTATCCTCTCAGTTTATGAGGCTAGAAGTCCAAATTCTGGGCACCAGCTCCAGGGGAAGGCTTTCTCTCTCTATTGGTTCTGGTGGGAAGGTCCTTGTCATCACTCTTCCCCTGGTCTAGGAGCTTCTTAGCGAAGAGACCCTGGGTCCAAAGGACATGCTACACTCCCATTGCTTCTTTATTGGTGATATGAGGCCCCTATCTCTCTGCTCACTTCTCTCTCCTTTTATCTCTTGTAAGATAAAAGGTGATGGAGGCCACACTCCAGGGAAATTCCCCTTACATTGGATCAGGGCTGTGACCTGAGTAAGGGTGTTGCATCCCACCCTAATCCTCTTTAACATAACCTAATCTTGCCACCATACCTATTCAATCTGTATGTGGAGCAAATAATCCGAGGAGCTGAACTCATCAACATTGGAGGAAGATGCATTAACAACCTGCTTACGCAGATGACGAAACCTTGCTTGCTGAAAGTGAAGAGGAGTTAAAGCACTTACTGATGAAGATCAAAGACCACAGCCTTGAGTATGGATTACACCTCAACAAAAGAAAACAAAAATCCTTACAACTAGACCAATAAGCAACATCATGATAAACAGAGAAAAATTGAAGTTGTCAAAGATTTCATTGTACTTGGGATCCACAATCAACACCCATGGAAGCAGCAGTCAAGAAATCAAAAGATGCATTGCATTGTGCAAATCTGCTGCAAAAGACCCCTTTAAAGTGTTGAAAAGCAAAGATGTCACCTTAAAGACTAAGGTGCGCCTCACCCAAGCTATGGTATTTTCAGTAGCCTCATATGCATGCGAAAGCTGGACCATGAATAAGAAAGACCGGAGAAGAATTGACGCCTTCGAATTGTCGTGTTAGCGAGGAATATTGAATATACCGTGGACTTCCAAAAGAACGAACAAATCTGTCTTGGAAGAAGTACAGCCAGAATGCTCCTTGGAAGCAAGGATGGCAAGACTACATCTTACATACTTTGGACATGTTATCAGGAAGAATCAGTCCCTGGAGAAGGACATCATGCTTGGTAAAGTAGAGGATCAGTGAAAAAGAGGAAGACCCTTAACAAGATGGATTGACACAGTGGCTGCAACAATGGGCTCAAGCATAACAATGATTGTGAGGATGGCACAGGACCAGGAAGTGTTTCATTCTGTAGTACATAGGGTCGCTATGAGTCAGAACTGACTCGATGGCACCTAAGAACAATCTTGCCTCATTGACCACAGGCAGAGATTAGGATTTACAAAACATAGGAAAATTACATCAGGTCACAAAATGGAGGACAACCACACAATACTGGGAATCATGGCCTAGCCAAGCTGACACATATTTTGGGGGGACACAATTCAATCCATAACAACCATTTCACCTTTCTTCACCTTTATTTTTAAATTTAAAAAATAATGACCCACCCCATGAAGCTTTATATTTGATAGTTTAAAATGTATATGTATATTCTCTGGAAAGAAGAATTTTTTTTTTAATTGAAAATGCTTTCATAGTCATCTCCAAACTTTAAAAAACCATAGGAAACAACACATATTTTAAAGTAGGTTAAAAATACTGTTTGGCTCACTGGCAGAAATTGGCATGTTTATTCAGTCGGTACATCACACTGAAATCAATACAAAGGATATTTGTATGGTAGCTTAAAATAGTAGCATATTAATAAAATTCTCATGATCCAAAATACAAGTTTTCATCTTCATAACTTCCCTCTGGCCATTGGGAATTCTTCAATCCTCCAAATAACTCATTTGGCAGGCAAGCATATGAAGAATATAACTATTATGAAGACCCCAATTATTGGTGTCATACAGTTTTAGAACAAGGCTTTCATTTAAGAAGAATTGGTTGGGAGTTTTTTTTATCTTCAATTTAGGGTGCTATGGTGCCCCCCACTCTGTCCTAGGCACAGCAGGTCGTGAGATAGTTCTAGCCCTAAATAAGCTTGGAGTGTACATGGGAGAGAGGACAGAAGCCCCAGTCTCTAAGGACCCCACCAATGTAATTCTTGAGGACCTAAGGGAAATCATTGAAAGGCGAGGGCCCCTCTTAAGACCCCAGGTAACTGACTCCCTCACCAAAGATCTCCAGGCCAGCACAATAAAGGGGAAAAGCTACTCAATTTGACCCTTGTAATTTAAAAGTTTCCAAGGGCCCAAGGAATAATGCTGACATAGAGGAGTATCTGACATCCTTGGCAAGCAGATGGGGGCAGTAGTGGTTCAGGGGTAGAATTTTCACCTTCCATGCCGGAGACCCGAGTTGGATTCCCAGCCAATGCACCACAAGTGCAGCCACCACCTGTCTGTCAGTGGGGACTTGCGTGTTGCTCCGATAATGAACAGGTTTCAGTGGAGCTTCCAGACTAAGACAGACTAGGAAGAAAGGCCTGGTGATCTACTTCTGAAAATCAGCCAGTGAAAACCCTGTGGATCAAAAGTCCGATCTGTAACCGATCATGGGGATGGCGCAGGAGCGGGCAGCATTTGCATGCACCGGGGCCGACTTGATGTCAGCTAACAACAACAATGACAAGCAGAGGGCTCTGCCCACCTTCCCTCAAATCTCTCCACCTGGTGCCCACTCACTGCCCTCACACTGCCTTCAAGCTACTAGCATCCCAAGCTAAGCTAAGAGCCCATGTAAGGGAGGCTACAGGCCACCCTTCCGAATCATCCATAAGAGAAAAAGGGTCACAAGTCAGGTTTGGCACAGGCCACAGTGAAGTTTCTATGATTCAATATCATTTGCACTTTAGAATTTCACAAAGCAACTTATTAATAGAAACGATACCGCTACCCAGTGTTGAGCGTGTCTATTACAAAGCATTTTGTGTGCATTGGCTCATTTGTTCTTCACCAACCCTAGAGGTAGGTGCTACTCTTCATCCACTTCCCAGATGAGAAAACAGAGGATCACAGAATTAAGTAAGTTTTCCAAGATCACACAGCGAGTAAGCTTGGGAGCCTGGATTCACACATATTTTCTTGGGTGATCTCCATTAGAGACAGTCACATGTGTTAATCCTCAGACAACCATCCCTATATGGTTGGTACTCTTGTCCTTGTTTAGAAAACAAAGTATCTGAGGTCGCAACCCACTGCCGTTGAGTCGATGCCAACTCATAGCAACCCTGTAGGACAGAGTAGAACTGCCACATAGGGTTTCCAAGGAGCGGCTGGTGGATTCGAACTGCCGGCCTTTTGGTTAGCAAATGAGCTCTTAACCACTGTGCCACCAGGGCTCCATATCTGATGTCCAAACCTCATTGCCATTGAGTCAATTCTGACTCATAGCAACCCTATAGGACAGAATAGAACTGCACCAGAGGGTTTCCAAGGGGTGCCTGGTGGAATCAAGCTGCCGAACTTTTGGTTAGCAGCCATAGCTCTTTACTCCTATGGCACCAGGTGAGGTTCAGGGAGTCTAAATGATTAGCA